GGTTATTCGAGATATCTTTTGCCGAATTTCAAACAACGGCACGTGATCAGCAACATTGGATGCACTGTCTTACTGGTTTATCTCCATGACCTGAAGTGATAAGCTATCATGGAAACTGTTTAACCGAAGATGTTTATTGGTGAATCGTTTGTAATCAGAAGAAGTGTAGAGGATCTTTGAAACAGTTTCATTATTTTTTGGGGTGGGTGCTAATGATGTTAGACGTTTAAATAATTGCTGCACCGTCGTCCTTTTATCACTATATTTTGGGCTGTTCACTGAAGTGTACGATTTCGTGTATAGTGATATTAAGACATTTTATCCAGAGAAATCTGCGTATTTTTTGGCTCTGCAGCGCACTAGAGGAAATGAGGCAGTTGGAGTACTTGTTTTGCTGGAATAAACATTATTTGGTTGACCATGATTAAGGAGTACGGCATTTTCCCTGATGCATGTTGAGTGCAGGTGACTTCCCCAAAATGCTTTGCGAAATCATCTATTGAAGTAACTGCACAGAGTAGTAAGGTATCCGGCATACTTGATGCATTTGTTCAGGTAGTTGATTTTGCATGCATTGTTATATACTTTTAAGAAATAGGAGATAAAGCTGATCCCTGCCGAGACCCTAAGTTGTTTGGTGGAGTAGAAACTTTGCATCCGTTGATTCTGCATGAACTGATTGCAGTTGGAGAGATAGTTGGCTAACCAGCGCAGTGCATTTGGATCAGTATGGAGAGAGTGATAAATTGGTAAAAGCTGTTTACGACGCCCTCTAGTAAATGCATTGTTTTAGCCCAGAAATAAACAATAGGTTATGCAGAAAAGATAGCGTAAAATACGGTTTATTTGTACATGGTGCAAAAGATATTGTGATCAGTCCGGCGACTGACCAATACAAATGTTTTGGCCCGTGTTTCACGGGTTTTCTTCAAGGAAAGTTGGTAATCAAATTTGGTGAATATGGTTAGTCGTCCCTGACAGTCGATAGTTTCGAATCCAGAAGGCATCGTATCGGCCCAACGTTGGTATTGGTCAGTAACCGAACTGACAACAATATCTTTTGCCTTGTACATAAGTAAACCGTGTTTTGCGCTATTTTTTCAGGATGGCCACCAACGCACGAACCAGTTTCTGTAGCGGGTTATGCAACTGCAACATATGGTGCATGATATAACTTATCTGTTATTTGCTTTTTTATGCAGCTCTCTTCTGTGTAACGATAATGTCGTTCAGGCGTTAATCATGGAGGACGTGCTGAACCATCATCATTGATTGCTACTTTATGTAATGCTATTCCCCAGACAGCTTTAATTGTACACATTGTAGTTATTGTGATTCTTCAGTGTGAAGTGCCTTCATGCAGCATGCAGTAGGGATTTTGATACTTTTTCTGTGGTAAAACCAAACTTTGATTATTTACTAGATATTAATTCTCAATATCTGAGCTCTAGCATTTGCTGAATAATTGTTTCCTAAACTTATGTGACCAGTTCCTATTTGCATGTTCTATTTTAAATTTATTTAATTTGTAGTTTAACCTGCGTTCTTGAAGGCGGAATAAATTTAGTTGTCTGCTGTAAGTTTGCGAGCTCTGAAATGGTCACATCGTTTCATCACATTGTCTCAGATATTTGCAGATCATCGACCTGCCGGACGTATCTCTGCTTGAGATACCGGGAGACATTGGGATCAGGCTGAATTCACTGCACAGTCATTTTAACATTTTACAACAGAAATTTAAATTTAAACGTGTTCGAATTCACACAGATTCAGCCTAAATTTATGTTTACTGCTGCTCATTCACTGTCATATTGGCACGTTGACTTTCTTTCACTCTGCGTATGTTTACACTGTTTCGTTTAGAAAATGCTTGAAACAAATCAGCGAGGTGAATGTGAAATTTCATGGCCCTGAGACTTGTCAAATTTCGAAGTTCCAGTATGAAACAGACGGCTTGAACGTTATTCCTGCTTGTCCGTCACCATCTGACTTTGCAGTACCTGACAAAATCCATGCCAGTGCACTGATCAATCGGCTTTTGTTTCTGGTCAAGATCGGGTTTTGTGTCGGTCTTAACAATCAGTTCGAGGACCAAAGCTTTCTGAATACCGAATGGAGCGAATCTACTAACCACAGGATGATTAGTCACATCTGGCAGCATCTCACTCCTCGTGAACGTTCTACGGCATTGCTTTGGCTAAAGCACGTGTCAGCAGAGATGTTAATGGCACGAGAACAGAAACAGAAGATCAGATTCAACTCACGTCAGTTCGTTACAGGCTCTTATTCAGAATCCCCCGTATGGGTCTCCCCTGCCATGCGTTGTGCACTTCTTACAGGTGTTTCCGGTGTTTTGGATGAATCATCTACAACGACGAACGACGCGCTTTCCAAAATAAAGTTTTATGCCGATATCAGTTACGACTTGGACCGTTTCAAGTCAGCTGAAGGCTTCGTGGAAAACATGATTCGCAACCGATAGTGAATTTCTCGAACACTTCGTTCATCTTCGAGGGCTTAGATAGACATGTTCTTTTATGTGAATATGTTGTCTAGCTATTATTTGGTCTTATTTGAATATGATCTGAAGTCATATGTTTATAATTTGCGTCAGTGCAATCCAAATTCTTGTTACAGCAGAATCTTGCTGATCGTTTTGCACAAAGACTTTCAAGGCATGGAAAAAAGAACGAGCATGCTCACCGATTTTAGAACCGTGTAACATTTCCATCGGCAAGGGCTACAGTTCGCCATCTACGGGCGTTACACCATAAATGTGCAGTTTGGCATAACAGTTTAAGTTGGTTAAATTATTTAACTCTTTACACTGTGCATATATAGCGCTGAACTATTTATTCGTTAAATTTCATACGTATTTCGCGATCAACTTGCATATCGGATCGTTTATCTACTCTGTACAACTGGTGGTATATGTTCAGCGTATTTTTGCTTGTCGTTGCAAATAGAATCATTAGAAACCGACGCAGTAACAGTTTGAAATACCCTTTTGAATGGTTAAACATCGTAAATATATGCTAATTTATTCACTTTATTAGCTTTAGATGAAAAGAATTAATATAGCGACATGTTCAGCTACAAAAGTGAGATTTTGTAATTCATGTAGCAATTCACCGGTGCTTCATATATGACGGGACACCATAGCTTAACTTCGATGCCTTTGTTCGTTTGTCTCGCGTGATTTTTCGCTACAAGCTTTCAAATCTTTTAGTTCGTCGTCCTTTCTGACGACTTGAGATAGTCGATTTAGAGCCTTTGATCTTGCAACAGGGCGTTTGCATACCCTTGGGCATAAATCTATTACGGCTGAAGTCAATCAGACGACGTCTACGTGGAATTTCAAGATGAAAGTGGTGCCATTCTTGATTCTGCCTGCCATTTCATTCGATCTTGGCAATAGTTTCGGCTGCTGGCCTAGCTTGACAGGTGTTTTGGACAGAAAGACCGACTGCCATTCACTTTAGGCGTGGTTTCAGGCTCTGTGTGGCTTGTTTAGCTTCAAGCACTCGCAGCACAGCGGCCATTTTCCTAGTGGTTTCTCCACCGCACGATGGAGTGGTGCCTCGTTTGATGAAAATTTTCTGATAATATGAGTGATAAACCATGAAGTATTCTAACTCGAAAATATTTAATTCTTAGTTCTTCCTGTAATTTCTAACACGTGCTCATTTAGTAACTTGTTAAATGGGTCAATTCGAGTCGCAACAGTGAGCACACGTATCTAACTTTTCCACAAATCGAAACACCATAGGACGCATTCGAGATGTTCACAAGTTATCGGTTGACAACACCGTTGGCGCTCGGATAGCAAGGGAGGATGACTGGAGACCGTGGCGAGTTCCTGCAAAACTTAACTACTTTTCCCTTATGTCATTGCGGTTATCGAATGCTATACTAGGCTGGGCTGGTGGAAGACAGAGAGATTGCGAAACGTCATCCATCAACATCTGTTTCATGCCTACTTGCAGCTGGAAGCGAACCGACATGATTGCGGCTGCCGAAGGTGAATACGAAAATGCCAATCAATAGCGGAGTCACAAGCCGTTCTGAACGGAGGAGGCAGACACAGCGATGCAATAATACTACGCCTGATAAGGTTCCAGCGGAAGTGATACCGGCAGTGGGAGTGCACCGTCGAAAATGTAGACATCACTTCTGTTACATAGAAAGATAAGGGTTATTTGATGAAGCCGCAGGTACGGGCACGGGATGGCCGGATTCTCACCAATTCTGAATAACGCAAATCTACTGAGGTATCGACTCCACGACCCGCACTCAGGCAGGTGTTAATACTTTGGTAAAATCGAATCTTCATGACGGAATCACCGGATGGATGCCCTTGAGCGGAAGAATAGCGATCTTCAAACTAATGTTACATCTTCCTTCATCTTCCATCGCCGCTTCTCCATTCGGGTCGCGGAAGCAGCCGTGTAAGACAGTGCTTCCAACGTTCCCGATCCTGTGCCACAGTCTGAGCTTCGGCAAAAGACAAATGCAGTCTGGAACAGATTTCTTCCATATGGTTGCACCAGGTTCATCTTGGCCATCCCCTGGGCCTTTTGCCGGTCGGATTTGTAAGGAACAGTTGCTTAGCCTTCCTTTCTGG